TTTGTCCTACAGTCAAGAATGCTCACGAGAGTCAAGAGTCTGGAGTAATGCAGCGACGACATCACTTGATGCCAATCCAGGAGTCTAACAACGTTAAAGGCAGCTAAACGCACTCTTGAAAATTTTTATGTGTCTAGCGTAGTGCAGCGAGGCCCTTTATCAGCCCGTGTATCCCGCTGGGCCCCTGTATTCCCGTTGCACAAAAGACAAAAATCATGGCGTACGAAGACTCACTCTGGTTTTGCACATTTGGAGATTAATGGTGGAAACCAAGAGTGAATCTTCCGCTAGAACATGAAAAGATACAGTGCCACGATCTTTTCTTTTTTTCTTCTTGTTTCTTCTTTTTTTTAGAGGAATATGGTCTGGCCCTCCGAAGTGGATGACTAGACTGCAGTTACAAACTCTGCCCTGCGACAGCCACGCGACGGAAGAGTTTGGCATGCAGTGTAAACTTCAGAGGGGACTGGACTCCAAAACGGCAGTTTCGTCCTTCCGGACGGCCATTAAAATTGGAATGATACAGAGAAGATTAGCATGTCCCCTGTGCGAGGATGACACACATAAATTGAGAAATGGTCCAAAAACAAAAAAACAAAAAAACGACAGTTTGAAATGTATTTTAAAACTGTAACCCTGACCGCACCCTAGTTTTCTCTCTGTCATGTTACTATGATGTTCGTAGAGCAACTTGCAGAACTAGTGGCTATTGGTGATGCGAATTTGGCAATTATATAATTTATATTTCTTAATTTAGAGAAAGCTTATGACCGCTTAGGGTGGGAGTTTCTGCAAGCTACATTGACGACCTTGGGGTCCTAACTTTAGATCTGCAGTTTCTGCTCTGTTCAAAGGGGCCTCTTCTCGGCTCTGTATCAATGGCGCCTTAACAACTCCTCTTTGCCTTAGTATGCACTCTGGGCGCCAAGGTAACAAGGTTGTCCGTTGGCGCCATATTTGTACTTGCTGTATGTTGAAGTTTTGCACTCTATTGTTTGTGCAAGCCCATGCAACCCGTTTTTTTTGCCACCATCTGGTCAGCGCATGAAGACTCACTGAAGCTTTTGTCGGCGACTCAGCGGTCTTTACCCCACTGGATGTATGTGACGCCCAACCTCACGCCCGACACGACTTCCTGATTGGAGTGAGAGTGAACCTGGAAGTGCGAAAAGGGGGTGTGCCAAGGATTTTAGGAAAGTGGGGTGGAGTCCCAGGTCATAACTGAGATCTCCTGTGGCAAGTTTCAAGGATAGGAATGCAAGAGGGTAGGCGTGGATCGCATCTGGTTTTATGCCTCGGAGAGGGGGGTTACCGCCTCCGTTGGTTCCGTCGTCTAGGTCGGACTCGTATTTGGTGCACCGTCGGGACGCTATGCCTATTGTGCTGTCTGATCACCTGTCGACGTCGAACGTTGCAGGTCTCGGAATCCAACGCGGTCGGCCTAAGCCGAAGGCTCTGCTCTCGTCGTTCCTCTTCCGAGCGAGTTCGCCGGATGAAGCCGAACGCTCGGTAACTGTGGTCCTGCAGACACTTTGAACACGGGGGTTGGGGCCAGTAGGGGGCGAGTGCGCGCCAAGGGGCGATGGTCAGGTAGTGAAAGGGCAGTATGCGATGATAGGGAGGGAAGTCGGTTTTCAGAATAATTATTCCGGGTTCCACGACAAGGTGACACGTGTACGAGCTGAGAAACTCGGGCTGGTAGGGAATATGTTCTAGGGCCCGATCAATATCCCATTTGCAAATACGTTCATTCCCGGCTAAGTAGGGAAATTCCAAAGGTCCCATCCTTGATCGTGAAGACAAACAAATGTGTTCCCAATATTCCCGGAATTCCTGATCCCTCAGGCACTCGCGGAGTCCTGTGTTTTTAATAAACAGTCACTATCAGTGATACAAAAGGGGAGTTTGATATTCATGCTGTGAGGTGGGGCGGAAATTCAAACATTCCGGAAGTTGGGCCGAGTACAAGCTTTGCAGACACGCGTGTAACGGTGTAAGTCACGCCCTTTTAGTCGGGCTTACACGTGCGTGCACAAGGCCTGTTCGTCGGTTAGGTGAACAGAGGCCAGCGACTCGCGACTTGTACGCGGTGGCCCGTTAACCAAAGGTGGATAGTCCTATCGTGAGACAAACATCTAGTTATCTAGCATGCTTATTAAATTCAGGCTGAAAGACACCCAACATCCATGCATCGAGTTTCACGCATACATGAACAAAAAGGAGGTGACAATCATTCATGCATCAAGATCATACAAAATTCGATCGTGCAAAATTCGATTGTAGGCGATTAACCAATCAATGTGGCCCATTTATACAGAGGCAGGAGAAAGGTGGGAGAAGCAATCATGCATTAATCATCAGAGACAAATAAAGAAAAGATCCGAGATGCCGATCGAAGAAAGCAAAGGCGACCTGCGCCAGATACCAAAATTACTCAGAAGAATAGAAGGAAAGCACCACTCCAACGCATCTCATCTCTCTCTCTCTCTCTCTCTCTCTCTCTCTCTCTCTCTCTCTCTCTCTCTCTCTCT